TTTATTAAAGAGGATAATAGTTTAATATGACCTTTTTTAAATCTATTATTAATATACTCATTAAGTTCGTTATATTTAAATGAATTTATAAAATATAATAAATAGAATTTAGGTTATATTTTTTTTTAATTTAATTTTTATATTTTAGCTATTATATTCTAATAGTCTTATTTTTTTTTTAAAATAAATAGTTTTATATAAATCCGGTACTTTTTAAATATAATTTAAAATAAGTTCGATTTTTAATTATTTATATTAAATATAAATATTTTAATAAGTTTTATTATTTTAATAAAAACGATATATTTAATTTATTTTCGTTCGTTAAGTATTATATAAAACTTATTTAAACTTTTTTTTTTAAATCGTTTAATAATTAAATTTATTTATTAAAATTAGCCGGTTTTTTAATTTATTTATAAATTATGCTTTTATAATTATAAGATTTTTAAAATAATATCGGTATCTTTAATTTTTATAATATTATATTTTAATTATTTTAATTAATTATTAATATATGTCGTGAGGTATATAATCTTTTAATTAATATATCTATCGTTATAATTAACTTATTTTTTTTTTACTATTTATAAAATATATAGGTTTAATTTCCGTATTTATAATAAGTTATATTTATTTATTATTTTTAGTAAAATAAAGATTTTTTAAACGCTATTATTAATAATAATATTTATATCGTATCCGTTTATTTAAAATTTAATTTATAAATATTCTTTATTAAAAAGTATTATAATATATAAGAACTTATTTATTTTAAATACTTTTTATTATTTTTTTACGATTAACGTATTTAGTTTTTTAATATTTTAAAAGCTAATACTTATTCTTTTTTTATAAACCGTTTATAATTAATTATTAAATCAGGGCGTTTTTATCCTTTAGTAAATAAATATAATACGTTAATAATATTATAAATATCGTTTATTTTTTTATTAATAAATATTCTCCTTTTAAAAAACGATTTATAATTTTTAAATATTTTAATATTAAATTATATATTTAAAATATATCGATTATATAAATAGTTTTTTAAATCCTTAATAAGTTAATTTAGTTTTTTTTAAAAGCTTATAGATTTTTATTATTTTATTTATTTATCCGAATCGGTTTTTTTTTAATAATAAAATCATTAATATTAAATAATATTTTATAATTAATTTTTAATTAAGTACGTCGTTAAGCGACGTTATAAAGTTCGTTTAAATTATAAAACGATTATTAACTTATAAATTATTCATAATTTAATATATTAATATTATTTAAAAAGGGGTCGTAATTTAGTTTTTTAATACTAAATTTTATAAATATATTATTAATAATTCTTTTGTTTAAATTATTTAATTTAGCGCTTTTTTTAAACGTAAAAAAGTTTAGTTTTAAATAAAATATATCGTTTTTTATTATTATTTTAAATTATTTATATAATTATTATTATAAAATAATAAAGACTATTTTTATAATTAAAAGTCGGGGGATATAAACGTTTATTATATAATAAACTTTATTTAGTTTTTCGATACGTTAATAATAACGTTTTTTTAACGTTTAAAGTCTATATATTAAATATATAATATTTATTTTTTTATTAATTTCGTATTTTAATTAAAAAAGGTTTTTTTTTATTTTAATTTTTAGTCGTTTTTAAAGTCGTTATTAAAATAAAACGAATATTATTTTTACGTTTAATTACTTTTTTTTTAATAATTAGTTAATTTTATAATAGTTAATTAATATAATAATATAGTTTTTATTATAATTTTTTATTATTAAAAAGCGATATTCGTAATATTAAATTATTTTATTAAATATTCGTCGTATTATATAAATAGATTTATTTAAAATCCGTATTTTATAAGCTAGGATTTCGTTTTTTAATTAAAATAAGTCGTTTTTAATTTTAGTTATTATTTTTTTTTTAATTTATTTTTTATTTTTATAAAGGTTTATATTTATTAAAGAAAGTTAATAGGTTATACCCTAATTATTTTATATATAATTAAGAGTATTTAAATATACTTTTTATTATAATTTTTAATAATTTTAAGGCGTTTTTATTTACTTATTATAATAAAGGTCTTATTAAAAAGTTTTTTAAGATATTATTTTAATTATTTTTTATTATTTTAGTAAGTAAAGTAGTTATTATCGTAATATATAATTTAAAAAAGCGATTTATAAAGTATTTTTTTAGAGGCGATATTAATTTGTTTTTTAGGGATAAGTTATTATTAAATTCGCTTAGGTTATTTATAATTTTTAGTTATATATTTTAATTTATTATAATTATAATATTTGAATTTTTTTTTTAATAAGGTTAATTTCGTTTTATTATATTAAAATTTATAAGTCCGTTATATTATTTATAAATAGTAGTTTATTAATTATTATTTTTATTTTAACGGTATTTTTAATTAAAATTACGTTAAGGTTATTTTTAATATTTACGTTTTAAATTAGGTTTTTTTTGGTTTTTTTTTTTTTTTTTTTTTTTATTACTTTTTTTTTTTTTTTTTTTTTTTTTTTTTTATTTTTTTTTTTTTTTTTTATTTTTTTTTTTTTTGTTTTTTTTTTTTTTTTTTTTTTTTTTTTTTTTTTTATAAAAACGGTTATCGATTTTAATTATAAATTTAGTATATTAAAGGAAATTATTTAGTCTATCGAGCTTAATAAGTTTATTTTTAATTTTATTTTTTAATTTTTAATAAAATATAAAAATTTTAGTATTATTAATATAATTAAGTTAAATACTAAGGTATTTAAATTTAGTTAAATAGTTTTTTATTAATTTAATTTATTAAAATTACGAAATATTACGCTTGGTTTATCGTTTTTTATTTAAGTTTTAAAAAAATAATTTAAATACTTTTTTAAATTTTTTAAAATTATAATAAATATTTTATATTTTAGAAAAATATTTATTAAAAGTTTTTTTATTAAAATATTTTTTTTTAAAAAAGCTCGAACTATTTAAAAGCTTGTTTTTTAAAAAAGTTAATAGTATATATAACTTTATCGATTTTATTATTAAAATCTTTTTAATAAAAGTTTTAAAAGTTTTTAATTTAAATTAAGAATCTTATTAAAAGTAATAAGTATATTAAATTTAAGTTTTTATCGTCTTTTAATAAAAAAAGTAATAATAATATTAATAGTATTTTAAAACGTATTTACTTATTTAGTAAGTTTTAAAATCTTTTTATATTCGGCGTTAAGTTTTTTAAACGTAATATTAAATAGTTTTTATATATAAGCGATATTATTATCCGTTTTAACTTATATTTTTATTAATTTTTTATTATATTAAATAGCTTAGTTAATAATTTTATATATTTAAGCGTAAGTTATTTTATTAAAGATTACGTTTTTATTAAAATTATATTTAATATTAAATATTTCTATATCTTTTTTAGCTTAAGCGAGTTTAATATTTAAAACCTAAGGTTATTTATTTTTATTAAAAAAAGATTCGATAAATATCGTTTATACTATTTAATAAGTTTTTATAAAATCGATTTACTAAATAAAAATAATTAAAATATTACGGTTAATTAATCGTAATAAGGTTTATATTAATAAAAATTAAGGCTACGATATTTATAATAATAATCGTTATTAAAATAATTTTAAAAGAATTATTATTTATAAATCGTAAAATAAAAAAGCTTTAGTAATTAATTATAGTTTTATTAATAAAATTTTTAATAAAAATAGTTAAAAATAATCGTTAAATTTAATATAAAAATTAATTATTAAAAAAGTTATAAAAGTTTATCCTCGAGCTTAACTTAAGCTATTTTTTATATAAATTTTAATTATAAATATATTTTTTATAATATTTTATTTATTATTATCTAATAATTCTTTAAATAGTCGTTTATTTTATATTTTTATAATTATTTGTTTTATTTATTTATAAACGTTTATTTTTTATTTTATTATATAATCGTAATTATATAATTTACTTATAGTTTTTTTATTTTAAAAAGAGCCGTTTATATTTTTATTATTATATATATAGTATAGTAGCCGTCGTAAGTTTTATAAAATAAGGCCTTGGTTTAGTAATACGTATTAAGTCGTAATACTTTTTTATTAAATTATATTTTTAGTTTTTATATTATATAATAATATAAACTTTCTTTTAAATAATTTTAAATTCTTTTTTAAAAGTCTTTTAATAATTATATAAATAATTAAATTTAATTTTTGAAATAAAATATAATTATATAAATTATTTAGTTTATTATTTCTTTATAAAGTTATTATTATATATTTATAATAATAGATAAAATGCATTTCTTATATTAATAAATCGTAAAGAAAATTCTTTAAAATCTTATTTAATAACGTTTTAGAAAACTATTTTCTTTTTAATAAAATAAAATTATAACATTAAAATTAAGTAAGTTTATATTAAAATTAACTATTTATTTTACTAAGTAAAGAGCTTTTAAAATATATATCTAGTTCTTTATTCATAATAAATGTTAATTAAAGCGCTTTAATAATAAAAGATTTATTATTTATAAATAGGTAAACTAACATAATATTTATAAAATAATTACGTATTAAATATTTAAATGCTTAATAATTAAATGCATTTAAAAAAAGATATATAATTAATTAAATTACGTAGTTAATCAATAAAACATATTTAAAAGCTTTATTAAAATTATACGATTCTTGCTTAACATAGATTTTTAAATATTTAATTTTTTAAATATAAAGTTATAATTATATAAGACGTTTATTAACTAAACGTATCTCTATATTAGATTAATGGGGCTGTAATACACTTTCATAGAGCTAACGAAGAGCTGGATTAATAGATAATCCGCCGGAGAGAATAGCCGACCTAGCGCCATCCCGCCCAGAGTTTTTGCCCCATCTCAGGGATACGTAGTCAATACACAACTAAGTCAATTTGTCACCCTCAGACAAAAGAAATTATGATAAAAACAACTGTGGGATTTATTTCCCTAATCATATTTTTCTACACTGATAGATAAGGCAGTCCCAAAATTTGTTAGCTGTGTTAAGGCTGAAGCTAACTGCGCCTCATCGCATGTGAGTGATATTGACAATCGGAACTTTGTCGACTTTAGTGTTGGTGGTGTCTCATCGTGTGGTGCGAGTGATGTGAAAGGTGTCGATTTAGATACAGAGGTCTTGCTTCCCACAACCGCGTCATTGCACTCCGTGACCTGGTTACTTCCGTCCAGTGAATGTGCATGGGTATGTTGAGCGCATCCAGCGGTGTCTGAAAGGGTTTGATTTGCAGTGCTCATCGCGTCTGGGAGGTGAGATGTATTACGCTTATGTAGACTCTGCTGCTGTTCGTCAAAGAAGCAACCTGCGGGCAAGTTGAAGGGTGGCTCTGTAGCTTGGCCTCGCAGCAGAGCCGGGTCGAGCTGCAAATAATCCTCCATAGCTATGCCACTGCCCTCGTTCATGTCTGGAGTCGGAAGAACGCTCTCCTTCGCGTACTCGTACCAGGCTGTATTGTCTGGCATCGAAACATTAATCCCCTCCATCCTCACGGGCGGGGAGCCAATTGGCCCCGAGGGACGCGTATTCATGCCGCCGTCGTTTTGGGTGTCCATGTCGCTGCTAACGTCCTTGAGCCATGTACGTATTACTTTGACATTTTCTTTCACGGGTTCTGTTTCCTCTTCCCCTTCCGCGTCATCAGATCGCATGGATTCGCTGTTGTCGCTCGAATTGGATATGCTGACCACCTCAGAGTTTCTTAAATTCGCCTGAGCGTGAATGCTTTGCTGTGTTGCGTGTCCAGAGGATGGATTAGGGTGACTTTGGCGTGTTCGGCTTCTGTTCTCGTTCTTGACCCTCAAAGTAGAGTACCGATTCTTGAGTGCAAGAGTGGTCCTAGTTGGAGTGTGATAGCTCGCGATTTGTGCCCATTTGGTGCCGTTGGTCAAAACTTCGTGAAGGAGGTCTGCATCCTGGTGACACCAGTCAGTTTGCCCTGTCGTCATTTGTGTGGTCGGGAGTGCTTTGGGGGTAAACAAACCTCCTCTGGTGTCCAGTCGCAGTAATTGATTTTAGGGTCCAGGACGTGGTTCCAGTGACTTGAGCACTGATCTGCACTTCTTGACCCGACTTCAGCAGCCACCTTGGTCCAATTCGTGCCCCAGCGCTGGATAGCGGCAATCAGACGCTCGTCCTCGTTCTCGGACCAAAGGCCCATGGTCCTGCCGTCCGCGAGACTATTCCACCACCGCCGGCGGCAGTCTTTGTTGGATCTTCCAGGGACCGCCTTCGCAAGCTCGCGCCAACGAAGAGGTTGGTGTTGTCGTTCAGCTGATGAAATAACATGTCAATTGGTTACTCCACGGCGGGGTAACGAAAGTAGCTTTCCGCACGAGGACTGAAAGCTAATGGAGGGCCTTACCAGAAATCACTGCTTGGCGCAGAAACTCGTCTTCCTTACTTGTCCAACTTCTTCTTAAGCGAGCCATTTCAACCACAAGAACCGTTCCGGGTAAGGTAATACTTCGTTGCACGAGGTTACCTTGCATAATGTTGTTACGAGTAGGTGAGTTTAACCTGAGTAAAAAGTAAAATCTTTGATGATATTGCGTCCAGCATGCTTATCTTTTGTTCTACACTATATAGTCACGCGCCCACAGAGACCAACTACAGCGGGCGTAATACTGTCTCCCCTCTAAGAGTCATGTACCTATGCCGTGACGTGGCGAGTAGGGGGATTGGTCCGAATCAGCTAACGTAGCGTGCTGGAAGTGAACCCACAACCTCTCGACGCGGGCTGGAGGTATAATTATATTACGAGCAGGTCAGGGCCACCAACTGTGGCACAAAGCAAAAGCTTCGATAATGATGCCGCCGGCATCTTTATCCCCTGTTCTGCACTATACAGTTACGCGCCCACAGGGACCAACTGCAGCGGGCGTAACAAAGGTGTGGCAACTAGTTTAGCGTTCGGAACACCAGATGGGTTGAACGGGACGTGTCAGAAGTAGGGATAATTTTATGGTGTCTTGTATGTGACTATCGCTTGTTGATCTTGGAAATGTTCTGTATTGCTAGGTAATTCCACGGTGAAATCCCATCGAACCTGGGCTAACCCCGGTCGAGGCGATTTTTGGTGGATTTACGGTCTCTTATCGCAAGTCGTCATGACTCTCTGCTACATTAGACAGAACGGATACTATCAGAATGGAGAATCAATTGGGATCTGCGTGACTAGAGTTCAGGATTAATGTCGGATTGGAAGCCTAATTCGACCTCGAGTCAGCGCCAGCGCAGGGGCCATCTAAGCGTCTCTATATCAGCGTTCAACTGACGGTCCAACCTCCGGTTGAAACCTCTCTTTTCCACTTCACGAAGAGATCAATATGCGGTTAATTGACCCTTCGTCACCACGGTTCGAATCGAACAATCAGACCTGTGATACGTAAACCAACAATGAAAGCAAAGGGGAGTTACTTATATCAGTTAGGTTCTAATCCCAACGGCTACACCGGAGAAGCTACTGCACCAACGAACCCAAAACGTTACTTACGTCAGTTAGGTTCGAATCCTATCGGCGTTACCAAATGAGCTACTGCGCCAACGAACCCAAATATTACGAGCGGGTCAGGGCAACTAACTGCGGCACAAAGTAAAAGCTTTGGTAATGTCGGATTGAAAGCTTAATTCGACCTCGAGTCAGCGCTAGCGCAGGGGTGTTACGACCTAATATATTGGAAGGACGAAGAACCTACCCTCCTATCCTACGGCGGCTATTTTATTATATATATAATTGATATAAATATATATATATATTATCTTTATAAATTAAAGGAATTATAAATAAGCAGTATATAAAAAAAAATTAATAAGCGCTTTTTATAAAATTATAAGCGTTTATAATTTATTAAATTTATTAAATATTTATTATATTATGTAAATAATTATGAGTTTTTCTAAATAATTATTAATAAAAATATATTTTAGAATAAAAGTTAAATATAAAATAGTTTTAAACTAAGCTTTAAAATTAAATTTTTATAAATTTTTAATAATTAATTTTGAATTTAATTTCATATTGAATTTTATAATAGATTTTAAGTATTTTTAATAAAAATTTCATTTAATAAAATTATAATTAATTATAAAAGTTTTTTTACTTTATAATTTATAATAAATAGGTTTTAAAAATATTTTTATAAAAGATATTATTTAAAAGTATCGTAGCTTTAACTTTTATTAATATAAACTTTTATTATAATTAATTCAATATAATATTTTTATTAATTTTATTTAAAAAGTTAATTCTATAAAGATTTATTAAATAATATTAATAATATTTATTAATATTTTTTATTAAAAAAAAGAGATTTATATATAAAATTTATTTAAATTTAAAGTTTTTCTTAAATATATTAAATATTAAATATAATTTTTAAAAATAGTATTTTTTATAAGAAAAATTTATTTTAATATATTAAATTATTAATAAAAACGTTATATAAATAAAAGGTTAATAGAGTTTTTAATATAATAATTTTTAAATTAATAAAAGTTTAAATAAATAATAATAATAATAATATTTAAATATAAAAATTATTAATTAAAATATTTATGAAGTTTAAAATTAAATATAAAAACCTATATATTTAATATAATAAGTAAATAAATTTAAAAATACTATTAATATTATTTTTAAGTTTTTAAAAAAGAAATAATTAGATTTTAAATTAAATATATTTAATATTTATTATAATATTACTAAAGTATTAAAAAGGATTTTTAATTTAAATAAAAAAGTTATTTAATTTCTATTATAAAGTTTTATAATAAAATATAAAAATTAATATATATATTAATAACTTTTAAAATATATTAAGCTTTTAAATAATTTAAATTATTTTTAAATAAAGGTATTTAAAAAGTAACGTTAAATAAATATTAATATATTTTTAAAAGATCTTATAAACGTTTTATATTATTTATATTAAATAAATTTAAATAATAATTTAAATAAAATATAATATATTTTAAATAAGTTCAATTAATTTTAACTTAAAATTTAAATTTAAAAACTTTTATATTTAAATAAATTTTATAAATTATAAAAAGTTTAAATAATTTTAAAAACTTTTAAATAAATTTAAAAAAAAATTATTAAATTAATATATTTAAAAATATTAACTATTTATATAATTTCTTTTTGATATATTTAATTTATGAATTCAAATAATTATCTTTATAAAATAATATAAAACTTTTTAAATAAAATATAAAAATTTAATAATAATTTTAAAATCTATTTTAAATAATAAAATAGTTAAATTTAAAATAAATAAAAATATTTAATACATTTTTTTATATATAATATAATAAATTAAATAATTTAATTTTCTTAATAAAACTATTTTAAAACGCTTTTTAAATATTATAATCTTTATAAATAAAATTTATAAATTATAAAATTATTAATAATATAGAAAATTAAATTATAAAAATAAAATTTAAATATATTAGTTTATTTATTAAAACTTAAAAACTATTTTATATTCTATTTTTAAAATATTCTATTTTAATTTAATTTATTTTATTTATAAAAATAATTAAAAATTAAAATTTTAATATTTAAACTTTTTAAATAATTTAAAAATTAATATTATTTTATATAATAATTATTAATATAATAAATATATTAAAAATTAAAATATTAATATATTATAAAAATTAATAATTAATAATTAATAATTAATTTATTTTAATTTAAAAATATTTTTAAAAAACTTTATAAGCTTTTTAAAATAAAATTCTTTTTTTAATTAAAAAATAAATTTAATTAAAAAAAGGTTTTTATTTAAAGATTTAAAATTTTAAAAAATAGTTATTAATAATATATTAATTAATTATTAAAAGCTTGATATATACTATATATTAATATTTATAACTAATTATTTATAATTAATAAAAATATAAAAAATCTTTTTTTATTTTAATTTTAAACTTTAATTAATTGTATATAAAAATATATAAAGGATATTTAAAATAATAATTAAAATATTTAATATTTATATACTTTATATTTCTTAAAATAGTTTTATTTTTTTAAAATACTTTCAAATAGAAGTATACCTCTTGGGTATTTTAAAAAACTCTAAGTACTTTAGAAAACTCTATATACCCTATAGGGTTATATTAAGTATATATTTAAGTATAATTAAATGTATCTCGAATATTTTAAGACATTAAAATCTACGCTAAATATATTCATTATAAATTTTAATCTCTTATTAGCTTATAAGGCGTCTGTTTTGTTTTAAAGGGTAGTAAAGCCGTTGAGTTAAGGGAGCTTAGGAGGGCTGTAAGGTAGAAACGACCTTAGTCGAGCCCACCTTTCTAGTCCTTATTATTTTAGAAGTATATACACAAAGACGTTCAGAAATTAATTGAGACTAATCGCGCGTTGCAAAAAGATTGCGAGGAGAGAAAAGGCGTATTTGAGAGCGAACGAGAGCTCAGGGCCTCTTGGTTTGGCTTGACTTGAGTAAAACGCTCGGTTTCCTGAACTCAGTGCCTGCAGGGGCCAAATGTAGGGTTCAATCAGGGTCCGGACATAGGAAACCTAGAGAATTCCGTGACCCCGGGTTGGCACAAACGAGAAGGACAGGGTGGATAGCACAAGAGCAGCACCAAATGTAGTGCCGAATTTCAGCCGGCTAGCAGCCCTGAAGCCGTCAAAGATCTTGCCTGCGTCTTCATTCCACTTGGTAGCACCTAGGCAAAGTATGCCACTTGAATAGCATTCACATAAATTAAAGCACGACCATCTACTTCTGTCGACCAAGAGGCTCCATTACGGAGCGCATTCTGAGACTACCGCACACGTAGATTTAACCTCTTGAAAGCCAACCGGCCCTTCATTTTGAACTTTCAATAGTCTTTTTTCCTCGTGCCAACCTATACAATATGTCTACTCTTACCACCGAGGACTTCCAGCGGGGAGGTGCTGCGTACCCTAAAGATTGGCATTATGACAAGGATTTGCCTCAGGACCAAAAGAACATTGAGAAGACATTCAAGCTTTTGAGGGAATACAGCGGTATACCTGCGGACAAGGTTCAGGAGCATGTTCACGATATTGTAAGACGCATCTTTCGATGGCTTCTGGTTTAATATGATGCCAAAGCTGACTCGTTCACACCATAGAGAAGCAAGGCATGGGAAGTCTTCCCATACCCATGCATCGGGTCATGGCGCTTCTTGGCAGACTACATGGAAACGTTTCCTGAGTATCCTGAGATTCTCTCCCGTATCAAGTCAGGCGATGTCTTTCTGGACGCTGGATGCTGCTTCGGTCAGGTACTCCGTCACCTCCTCTATGATGGTGCACCTGCCGAGAACCTGATTGGCACGGATTTGTATCCCAAGTTCATTGAGCAAGGCTACGATCTGTTCAAGGACGAGGGCAAGTGCGGCCTTAAGTTCGTCACAGGCGACATGCTGGACCACTCAGACACGTCGCTTGACGTCCTAGATGGCAAGGTGGACATCATCCATGGCACATTTCTCTTCCACTTATTCAATCGCGAGGACCAGATCAAGTTGGCAACGCGCCTGGTCAAATTCTTCAAACCGGACGCCAAGAACGCGCTCATTGTCGGCCGTCATACAGGCCAAGCTGAGCCCCTGGATCCGTTTGAGACTTGGACTTTGGACAAGCTCAAGCGCTTCCTGCACACTCCATCCACGTGGCAGGCCTTGTGGGATGAGGTTGGTGAATTGACGGGGACGAAATGGGTGACCACTGCCGAGGTAGTGGACCTTAAGATTCTCGACATCGACGACAATTACTGGGCGAAGAGGAAGGAAGTAACGGGAGACCCGAACGCCCCCAAGACTTTGCGCTTTTGCCAATATCGGTATTCGGTGCGCAAGGTGTAAATAGGGGGAAGTATGGCTTGAGAGAGATGTCTTCTTTTGATGACATTCGCCATTTTTGGACATTGTGGAGGATGAGTGTGTTTTAGCGCTGTGGAAACGACACCAATCCATCGACAGATGGTCTGGAGAATCTGAGGTTGTTCGATTTCCAAAAATGCTTGTGGGACTTTGGACCAAAAAGGCATTGTCGTACAACGCCACATTCGCTCCAAGATAGGCCGAATACATTCTCCAATTCTCGAAACAAATCGTTTGCCAAGAGTCTCTTATGCCGATTTAAAGCTGATGACTGTGAGGAAGCTTGGTTTATTCTTTTTCCTAATCTGCACCGCTGGGATAGAGTCAGAACAATGTTGGAAGTCAAGCTGCACAAGCACATGGGCATTCAAAGATGTGTATCGGCCTGCGATTGTGTCATTTTTGAGGGTTATATAGGTCCCGACAAAAAGCCCAACGAGAGTCCCGCTTGATTCCGGATGTCTTCCACGAATTGATTCGTTCAGGGAACAAAGGAATTGTGTCTCGTATTGACACGTCATGAGCCATCACTACGAACACACTTTCCAGCCCATCCAGCTGCTGTATCTTACTAACAGTATCAAAGGACGCATCCTTGTCTGGGAAGATGACACTTGGAGCCGCCACCTGGAAAAAAGGGTCTGATTTGCTGGAGAGGCACGAATCCAGGAGGAGACCGGGACAAAGCGCCGCATCCTCGCCCAGGAACTGCTGCAGCTTCTCGCCAGATGGCAGTGGATAATCCGCGCTTGGCCGTAAAACACCGACATGGTGACACGCATCGGCCCCCATAAACACAAATGACGATCCCCCCTCCTCGTGAGCGGCAGTTGTGCGTGCCAAGGCGCAAAGATGCCCCACGGCATGGCCCGGCCCATCGAGGAGGTAGAAGGACCCGTCGCCAAAATAGTCCAAAGCATCAAACCGCCCAATCTTGAGACCTTTGTCAAAGGCTACCTCGACCACCGCACGGCCCTCGATATCTGCGTCGAGGACGATGGCGTCCGCGCGCGTAGGCCAGCCCGGCCACGTCACGGCGCGAACGCCGGGGCCGACTACCAGCGCCGTACTTTTGGGAAAGCGCGTCACGTCGCCGATGTGGTCGAAGTGATTGTGTGACCAGATGACGGCCGCGATATCGGTGCTACGAACATTGGTATGGCCGCTGTCTGCCGCCTCGTCCAACATGGTGGACACGTCAGTTCCTGGGGTTACGACCGTTGTGGCAGATATCAGGGCGACCGTCTTGGGGGCATAGTTGCGCCAGTCAGGCCGCGTGCCGAGGTCAAAGACTACATGCTCGCCAGTTCTGTTGTTGGAGACGAGGAAACAGTATATCGGTGCGTGTAGGCCAGTGAATCCGTCGACCTTAGGCCGCCAGAACAGTTCGGGATTGAGGTGAACGGTCGTGTTTCTATTTTGAGATATGTCAGTCTTTAGCCCCCCAAATTAAGGACAGAGCAGGCAACATACGTATCAATAACACGAACATCGACCGTAGTAGAGAACTCGGGGATGTTGGCCACCCGTGGGATGTCTGAGGCGGACATGCTGGTCTGGCTGAGGGAATGGTTCACCGTGAGGGCTGACAGCAGTAAACGAAGCGTCAATCCAAGGGTGAATATGGGTTTTGCATTGTTCTAGCTCGGGTATGTGCCATGACGATGCAGAAGCAACCGTGCCAGTCATGCATCTCTACAACTTCGTAGTCATATTAATCATGGTATCGGGCCAAAGTTTTAGCCCCTGTACAGGTATCTGTGGCTCAAGTAGACCAGGTGCGGTACATTTATCGCAGGCGAAAAACCGGCCATTCAGCATTTAATCCAGGGCTTCCTGTGGGACCGTCAGTCCCTACGATACGTGCCCAGGGGCTTGAACTTACCCATCCCACCATAGTAAGTTGAGGGTCGTGTCGAGGCAAAGGGTTAGAAGGGTCTATGGTCCAAGCAATATCACAAAGTGCCCAAGTTGTTATGGGGTTCGGCACCGGGTACGATCGCTACGCTCGTATTACACGACGAGTTCCATTCCCAAAAAGAGCCGTGTCATGATCCACTACCGAGCCACTGATGTGAGCTTGAATCAGCTTAGCCCGCGGAATCCACTGTACTGCAATATAATTGAATCAATAGAACTAAGTCAGCATCCCAGATATATGACTCGTCAGTCTACAACACAACACGGAGTGAATAGTACTTATTACGGAGCGTTCGGGATGCACTAGCCATGTGGGAGTTGCCGGCCGGCAAGTGGGTACGCAGCACGCTGCTTTCACAACTTCAACCTTGCATGCAACCATAGCTATCTATCATGTAAAGTAGAATCTCCACAACCAACTTAACTATTAAATTGAAACGATGTGTTTTCATCATAAAATAGGGTCTGTTGATGCCAAAACAAAATTACACCGACGTATCCGAAAAAGCATGGGCGCCATATTAATGAAGCTTTGAAGTTGTTGATCCGCCATGGCGTTGTTTGGTGGATGAAGAGTACTGGCTACTTACCTCTCTACTACTCTCCTTATATAAGGAAAGGTTCCTATGACCTTAGTAGCTGAGGCTTGCTATAGTAGAGGGAAATTTATTAGTACCTCATTTACTTTATCTACTTCTTTTCGAAGAAACCCGTATCTTCTCAGTGCTAAGTAAAATACCTTTGTGTTCACCTCTTAGGTTATCTCTATTAGGGTTACTTAGTCTGCTTTATTATGTACCTTGCTATTTATTGTACCTCAGATTCTGAAGCTTTGGTGCTCGGGCGACCCGTCTCCCTTTATAGCTACGGTCCATGCCCTAATTTACAGCAGTGTACTACGATGTCCAGGCCTTCCTAGACTACAATCTTTGTCAATAAATCTTTTTCTTCTACACATCGCCAACGTAATCTGCGTTTCCCTACTCTAGGGTACCTTCGGTCGTTATGCGTTCCCTCTCAAGCAACTCGTTTCTGCTTTCGATACTGCTGTTTCACAGCGGCAACCATGTTTTAGGTGCACCTAGTCCTAAGTCCCGTGCGGAATGCGCTCCAGCTGTGCGAACTTTTGACTATGTCATTGTGGGCGGTGGCACTGCTGGCTTGGTCCTTGCGAATAGGCTCACTGAGAATGCTGACATCGACGTCGCTGTTATTGAGGCCGGGACGAGTCCAGAGGATGTGGCAGGAAACTTGACTGAGGTGCCAGGCTACGCTGGCGAGCTGTACGGAAATGCCGCCCAGCTGGATTGGGGATTCTCGACCACGCCCCAGAAGGTATTCAAGGGACTTACACTTAAAGGTGTCATCAGTTACTAACACACTTATCAGTCTCTTTTGAACCGAACGCTCACGTACTTGCGGGGCAAAACGGTAGGCTTCTTCCACTCGTAGATTCTCTAGTCTTGGGGAGAAAGAATACCAGTGACTGATTACTCATTCTACAGCTCGGCGGTAGTGGCGTCTTGAACTTCATGAACTATGGACAGACCTGCAAAGGTGCTCACCAGAAGTGGGCCGATGTTGTCGACGACCAGTCTTACACCTACGAAAACATGTTGCAATACTACCATAAGGCCATGAAGTACTCCCCACCGAAGGCCGGTGCTCGCTCAGCCAATGCCACCGCCTCGCTCCCCGCAGCGGACGCCGCGATCAATGGAACACTGCCTATTACTTTCGGAGCGTACGTACAGTCTTGGAGCACCTGGGTCGCTTTGGGTCTCGAGGCCATCGGCATCCCCCAAGTCTCGGCCTTTGTGGATGGCAGCAATCTAGGGTGGGCCTGGAACCTCTATACCATCGAATCGCCAAAGGCTACTCGATCTACCTCGGAGACTGCCTACCTGCACCCTGTTCTTGGGCGTCCCAATCTCGCTGTTTTTGACTATACGTTCGCTCAGCGCATCATATTCGATGACCAAAAGACTGCCACAGGCGTCGAGGTAACCTCGACAACTACCAACTGCTCATACACAATCTCCGCGGACAAGGAGGTCATTCTCTCGGCAGGCGTTTTCCAGTCACCCCATCTACTGCAGGTCTCTGGCGTCGGTCCCAAGGCCGTTCTGGAGCGATACAACATTAGCGTGGTTGCCGATCGGCCCGGCGTGGGCCAGAACATGCAGGACCAGGCCACCACACTCGTCATGTACCAAGTCGACCTCATCACCAACACGCGACTGAGCCAAGATCCCAACTACGCCGCCGCAGTTCTGGAGGAGTACAAGGCCAACCGCATGGGGCCCTTGACCGCCCCGGGAGGCGACCTCTTCGGACTAGAGAAGATACCAGAGGAATTCAGGACCGGATTCTCGCAAGACACCAAGGCCTGTGAGTAACAATAACCGGAATCCGAACAAACCCCGTCAAAACTCTGCTGACACGTGCCCTCTGGCGTAAAGATCTAGACGAACTGCCCGCAGATTGGCCCGAGATCGCCTACGCCGTCTACCCGGGCGGCGCCACACAGCCAGAAGCAGGGGCCAACTACGCCATGATGCAGGCGTGGTCGATGGTCCCTCGTTCTGTCGGCTCCGTTACGATCCAGTCAGCGGACATGGCCGTGGCGCCTGTCGTCGACCCCAACTTGTTCAGCTCTCAGACGGACGTCGAGGTCGCGATTGCCGGCCTTAAGCGCATACGCCAGGCACTCAACAGCTCCGCCATGGCCCCTATCCTGATTGGTGATGAGCTACTCCCCGGCCCGGATGTCCAGAACGACGACGAGCTTGCCTCATTTGTGGCTCAGTCGGGCAGCACCATCTATCATGCCGCGGCGACTAACAAGATGGGCAAGACCTCAGACCCTGATGCAGTCGTCGACAACCGGGGACGAGTAATCGGGGTCCAGAGATGTAAGTCCTCAATTAGCCTTCCAGGAAACAAAATACACAGTCTCAAGGCTTGAACTGACATCGAATAGTGAGAGTGATTGATGGTTCTGCGTTCCCTTTCCTGCCGCCAGGGCCCTCACCTTATACACAAGTTTGTATGTTCAATCATTAGATAACTAGAAGAGTTTTATTGCTGACCCGAATAGTCATCTTGGCTGAGAAGCTCGCTAATGATATCAAGAACACTATCTACTAAGAGTAGTACATAAAGAATATCTCTAGTTTTTTGAAATAAGCTTTTAAGCTTACTATTTTATCAAATCTTTTTGATATATTGTCATAGCTATTTAGCTTTAATATATTTTTATAACTTAATTATTAATTTCTTAAGCTATAAAGCTTTTAAATTTACTTTATTTAATTAACGCTACTATAAACACGCTTAATATTTATTTTATTTCATTTTCTTTTTAAAAAAATACTTTAGTATTTTAAATAAGCTTTATAAATTTAAATAAAGATTTAAAGAAACCTTATTAATTTAATAAAATAAAAAACTTTTAAAATGGTTGATAATATTTGATAATCTTTATAAAAATTAAATTTATAAATTTTATTTAATATTATAAGTCTACGAGACTAAATCCTTTAAAAAAAAGATTCAATATTATAGTTTATTATATAGAAAAAACTTAGGACTTATTTTATTATTTTATAACACTTATTTTATTTTATATAGAGTTAATATTAAAATTAATGTATTATTTTTATAAATAAAACAAACTTAAAATATGAATTAAATAATAATAATTAACGCTGATTTTAAATCTAAATAATTTAATACAATTTAAAACTTTTCAAAGTTAAACAATTATCTTAAAATAAAATAATTTAAAAAAAACTTCAAAAAACTAAAAGATTTATCTAAGATTAAAATTCATCTAAAATATAAGTTTTCAATTAAATTTTAAAATAAATTTCTATAACTTTGTTAATAATTAACTTTTTTTAAAATTTATAATTATTTTTAATTATTTTTATTAATAATTTTAACAATTTGTTTTAATTAATTACTTAATATTTATTATTTTTTAATTTCTTAAAATAGCCTTTTTAAAAAGTTTTAATTATAATTATTATTTATAGGTATTATAACCCCGATTTTAATTAATATAAACCCTTATTACGATTAGCTAGCTGTATAAATATATTTATAACTAAATAGCTTAAGCCTATAGCTTTTTATATTATATACTCCTTAAGAAGTTTATTATTAAAGCGGCTGTACCTTTACTGCTATAGCGTTAAATACGATAATAATAACATCATAATAAGTAACGGAGACATATATAAGAAAGGAGTATTAGTTCCTGTATAGTAACTACACTTCTATATCTACTTTAAAAGCTGGTTGTTTTCGGTATTGTATTTATTTAACACGCCCCAGTCTGGAAAGTCGGCTTCACTCCCCTACCTCCGGTCGTTTCTCGATCCTTGCATACAGACCCTTTTGGAAGAAGAACCACGAGTTCTCATACTGGAACCTGTGGGGATCTACGACATGTATCTACTTGATGTTAGAACTGCAACTATTAAGCCAGACATTTGTGGGGGACTCACATCATAGTTGGCTATGAGAAATGCTAAGATCTTCTTGATTTCTAGAATGCCCACATACCTACCGATGCAGATGCGCCGCCCACCGCCGAACTTTGGCAGCTCAGTCAGCAAGCGCGCCACGTAGAGAAACGAGGAGAAAGCGAAGCTAGGATCAGGGTCGTGAATATCATGAAAAGTACTTACGGTGAGAATTCCGGCCTCCAACTTTCTTTTGTGAGCCTCGTCCTTCTCGATCCATCGCTCCGGCCTCCAGAATTCAGCATCGTCTCCGAACCAGCCCTTGTGCCGGTTCACAACGTAAGCATTCCCGCCGACATTAGTGCCCTCCGGTAGATGTTGGCCTGCGATTGTGATACCGCCCTTTGGTACAACGCGCTCGAAAGGAAGGGCGAAAGGCGGGTGCATGCGGATTCCCTCCAGAACGCAGGCGTCCAGGTACGGCAGGTTCCGGATCTCAGTCCATGTTGGGTATGGCCGTGAGACATTGGCATCCTTCAGTTCTTTGAAGAGCTTATCGAACGTGTGAGGGTATACCAGTAGGTTGTACATGGTTGTACGCATGAGACTTCCCACAGAATCAGAGCCAGCGATGACATTGGAAAACGTCCATGCAGCCGGAGCCCTATTACAAAAGTCAAAACTGTCCATACTTGTCGACTCTGCGGGATTTAACTCACGACGGAGGTAGCGAAGGGTCTTGCTGCGACACCTCAACATATCTTGTGAGAAAGTCCGACCCACGAGCATACTTGTCATTTTCCACGTCCCTCTTTTCGACATTGTTGGCGAGCGCTTCCCTCTTCTCGGCAATGGCTTTTGCTACAAACCCCATAATGCTCATCGATGCTTGGAGCCCCAAAGCACGTTGGATGGCGTCACCCACGCGGTTCTTTCGGAGTAGCCAGTCAATCATTGGCATTTGCGTAAACTTTATGATCATCAATGTCAGTTCATCCCTTGGCACCCCTCTTCAGCATTCATGACCGGGGCAGCATACCGGTGCAGAGGTTCGCATGAAAAACACAATGCTGGCTAGCATGCCTCCAACATCCTTGCCTGTATCCAGGAATCCATACCGCTTCGAAAATGTTAAAGTCCCCATGACATCGAATGCGAAGAACTGAAGCCAATCGCCTAGATTAAACACCTGGTCGTTGCCAACGAATTTGCACTCCAACTTCTCGTGTATGCATTCGAGGACTTCGTTGACGCGAGGCTCCAGGGATGGTATATTGGCAAGAGTAAAAAGAGGTGCGATAGGCGTCTTGAGCCTCTTGTGGACCTCATCGCTTGTGGTGTTGAAGATGGCTTCCAATGCACCCCCATTTGGAGTGTAGGCCTGAAGCGTTGGATAGAAATCTGACTGAAAACGGACACGTTAGACTGTGGCAGTAAGAGAGAGCCAATTCGATGAGAAAGCGCTCACCTTGGGAAATCCTATTCGCGCAGTGTATATCGTCGGGATGAGTTCCGGATTGTGGATGGAGACCGTGTTTGGGCCAATGCGCACAAGTTCGCCATATTCATCATGCGCCTCTTGAAGAATTAGGTGAGCGCGTTTGGTTTTGACCCAGTAAACCCTCTGGAAGTTCGTGAACTTTGCAAAGAATGGCCCGGGAATATGACGAAGACGCCACCATGTCCGCCCAAGCTGCAGGACCACAAGCAGAACCACCGTAGCGGCAGCGAGCCGCGAGGGACTACAATCTACCAAGGTCATGTTGGCAAGCATAATCACGGGCATGGTAGACTTCTTGCCAGCATACAAGCATGCAATGAAAAGGATGTCTACTGACTTGAACAGACGCTGTGGCATGAGATCCACCATGCATTTCAAATAGGTAGTTCGGTGGGTGTTCTTTTCTTCTGCTTGAAGCTCGGAGGAATGCGGTCGGCCCTGGTGGAGTTGACGCTTTTACTCAGGTACACCTAAACCTGCATATAGGACCCACGATACGGGTCTAAACTCTATATTAGTTCTCAGTCACGGACCTTGCTCCGATACCAAGATAATAAAAAAAGAACTGTGCATTACGCGGCAATATGTTTCATTTTGACAGCAGCGATAAGCATGACATTAAATTAGCCATAGGATGTCTTCCTTGTGAATGGGTGCTAGGTTTTTAGGGCGTGGGGCCGCTGTTTAAACTGCTGTTTAGGTCATGTCGGCACCGAGTACACGGGGACTACTTGCGACAGTATTCTCTCCAGAGAATCAGGGGTCCGGGCACCCACTTAGACGGGAAACAGGCGACCGTCTTCTCGGCAATTCGTTGCATGCAAAGCACCTCCAGAGTCCGCTTCTACCCGCCGGCGTGATGGCACCCTGTGAAGCTTCTACCGTCCCCGGCCTTAATCCGACACCCCACTTTTTGTACAGGCACCCAATAGAACACCTACTTTTCAACCACTTCTTTTAAAAGCCAAATAACCCAGTTCCTAATCTTATTACATAAGATTAGCTTTATATATATATATACGTATTTAAAAAAGTCTAAAATTATAATTCTTGGAGCTAAATTTAAAGAAATAACTAAAATTAATACTTTATTTAAGTAATTTATAATATGACAATAAGGAATATTTAATAAGTGATGAAATATAATATTAAAGTAAATAAAAAAGTCTCATGTACTACAAGATCTACTACTAAAGATTAAATTTAAAGTGATTTGTATACTTCTATATTTATTAAGTTTTGATTAGCTTTTCTGTTCGTGAGTTAAGTTGAGGTACAACATATACCCAGGTACAGAATGAAGCAGACTAAGCAACAGTCAAGTTTCATGCAACTGAGTACTAGAATCCACATGTACACATGCACAAGCGGGACCACCACAGACCGACCAGGCAGGAAACATTTATACTTCTGTCATTTATCAGCTTTCAAAACATCGTTCTTCAACGGTGCCTTGTCGCATACTCCAAACCATCATGCCTTTCAACAATGCTGCCACGGAGTTTCGCGTGGCCCTCTTTGGGCCACAAAGAACTGCTTGGACACGGCGGGACGTTGAAGACCTCCAGTCTGCCTTCCGAGAAGATGCGCGCCTCGAATTTCTGCGCAAGACACTGGGCACACTTCCCTCGCTATGGCCACAGGTCCAACAAGCATACGGCTCGCCAGACTTCCCAGCCGCAGCAAAGCTTCAAAGATTGCAAGAAATTGTGGCTGGCTCCAGCAGCATAGACGATACAGTGCTGTCAAACACAGAACTGGCGCCGCTCACGGTCATCACGCAGGTTGTCGACCTAATTCAGCAACACGGTACCAGCCTGGAAAACTTTGAGGCAGCGCAGGGCTTTTGTGTTGGGTTTCTCTCAGCTGCGTCCTATTCTTCAGCTCGAGACTGGCAGCACTTTGAAGGAAATGTCTCCAATGCCGTTCGACTAGCTGCCTGTTTTGGTATTGCAGTTGACATAGAGCAAACTTCTTCGCCAGTTAAGGTCGTGTCAGTGCGTTGCAGGACGCCGGCAGAGAGAGCGACCCTGGACACATGCTTGGACCGTTTCCCTAACGTAAGTCTGCATTTCTTACTAAGAAGAAACCCATGTCCAGAACTTGATGGCTGACAAAACTCGCTAGGCGTACATATCCTGCGTGACTGAGGATAGAAATCTCACCATCACACTGCC